GCAGAGACAGTGAAATCTCGAGCATGCATCTTCTCAGTGAGCCAGTCCACCTTCCTTCGGGTGTTGATGAAGATGACTGCCTGGGTGATGGTCAGGGTTTCATACAAGTCACACCATGTGTCCAGCTTCCATTCCTCTCGTTCCACATTGATGTAGAATTGGTGGATACACTCCAAGGTCAGTTCTTCCTTCTTGACAAGAATCTGAATGGGTCCCTCATGAACTTCTTGGTCACCTCAAGCACATCAGAAGGCATTGTAGCTGACAGTAAAGCTACCTGGGTGTTGCTGTTGAGCTTTTGGAATATGTCATAGATCTGGTCCTTGAATCCACGGCTTAACATTTCATCAGCTTCGTCCAGTACAAACATTTTGATGTATTTGGGAGCTAGAGAATAAAAAAAGCCAATATATAGTATATAATGAGGTAAATGTGTAATACATATACCCAACTTTCCTGATAACCGAGGGGCCAAGTAGTCTGCTCTCAGAATACAAAGACTGATCCTTTGCCGAGGACTTTCCTTCCTGGCCAGACAACAGCCCTGGGAAGTAGAACACTGCCTGGGCTGCGCTGCCAGGGAAGCCAGGCTCAGATGACACGCATGGGCCTCATCACAGAGCAACTCTTCAGGAATAACTTTGGCTTAAGCTGAAAGACTGGGAAGCATGCACGAGAGGAAGTGACCTAGGGGATTGTTGAACTGAATTACTTACACAGGTATCTCCGGTTAAGCATATCAAACACACGGCCAGGGGTTCCCACGATGATATGGGGAGCTTCCATCTGCAGCTTCTGCACCTCAGCACGAACATTGGTGCCCCCAATACAGGCGTGACAGGAGGCACCCATGTAGTCTCCTAGTGCCATGACCACCTTCTGTATCTGAGCCCAGAGAAAAACAGGTGCTCATATATTAGCTAACAACTGTGCCAAGCACAATTCTTAAATGTTTTTCACATATTTATTCCTAACCAACCACCCCGGGGGGTGTGCTCTATTAGTAATCTCACATTCAGCTGAGAAACTGGCAGAGGTTAAAATCCTTAAGATGGTGCTGTCAATAGTGGCAAGACAGGATTTCAACTCAGTCTGGTTCCTGAGTGTACTGTGATTCACAATAAGGCCGCTAAGATAATTCAGTGTCTTACTCTAGACATTCAGAACCCTTAACTTTCTGAAAGCTAATTTGACCAGCTGCCTCATCATGCAGCAACCAGGATCCTTTTTTTTTTTTTTTTTTAAACTGTTTTGTTCGTCATCCAGGCTGGAGTGCAATGGCACACAACCTTGGCTCACTGCAATCTCTGCTTCCCGGGTTCAAGTGATTCTTCTGCCTCAGCCTCCCAAGTAGCTGGGATAACCGTTGCCTGCCACCATGCCTGGCTAATTTTTGTATTTTTTGTAGAGATGGCATTTCACTATGTTGGCCAGGCTGGTCTAACTCCTGCCCTCAAGTGATCTGCCGGCCTCAGCCTCCCAAAGTGTTTGGATTACAGGAGTGAGAGACCGTGTCCAGCCAGCAACCAGTTTTATAAAACAGGCAAGGCCGGGCGCGGTGGCTCAAGCCTATAATCCCAGCACTTTGGGAGGCCGAGGCGGGTGGATCACGAGGTCAAGAGATCGAGACCATCCTGGTCAACACGGTGAAACCCCGTCTCTACTAAAAATACAAAAAATTAGCTGAGCATGGTGGCGCGTGCCTGTAATCCCAGCTACTCAGGAGGCTGAGGCAGGAGAATTGCCTGAACCCAGGAGGCGGAGGTTGCGGTGAGCCGAGATCGCGCCATTGCACTCCAGCCTGGGTAACAAGAGCGAAACTCCATCTCAAAAAAAAAAAAAAAAAAACAGGCAAGCACATTTATGTCTTACTGCACTCCTGCCATAGGACCCAAGCTACAAGGCATATTCACTCAGAGAAAAACTGAGACCCAAATGCCTTAGAACAGAACTCTGCTGTAACTTTTCCCACATTATCCACACCCAGAATAATCACTGCATCTGCCACAGAACGTATAATGCCCTGGGCCTCGATAAATACTCTGGTTTGAGACTAGTGTCTCAGCATAACCCAGGAAGAAGAGTCCAGCATTAGAAATGTATGTGCCCTAGAGACAAAACAGCTCTGCCCATTAAAGCCAAGGTGAAAAAAGACTGTCCATCTGCTCTGCCTAAAAGCACCACCACCAATGAGGTGTCTCTTAGCCCACTGTGAAGGTGCTTATTTAGAAAACAGCCACCAAACTTGCCCAGCCAGCCAGGCTCCACCCAAGAACCTTCCCATTTGACTCAGAAAATAGGTGGAGGAAGTGATGGTTTTGTTTAGGCAGGAAACAGCTTCTAATTAAGCCAGCAGATCAAGAGCATTAGGGCGCCCATCTCTTCCTCCCAAACTGGTGATCAGAAGTAAACTTCTGGTACTTGGATTATGCCCATCATCCCTAAGTCAGCCCTTTAGGAGGGAAAAGCCACTCTTACCTGCTGAGCCAATTCTCGAGTGGGTGCTAGGACCAAGGCCTGGGTGGCCTTTAGATCTAATTCAATCTGCTGCAGAATCGATATGGCAAATGTGGCCGTTTTCCCAGTCCCAGATTGGGCTTGAGCGATCACGTCATAACCTAAACAAATAAATTAGGAGTTAAACGTGGTGACGAGCACATACTTCGGGATATCCAAGCCCTAGGTTAACGAGATCAGTGAACCAAGCATTTCGTGCTTCACAAGCTACCTTACCCCATCAACAGTTACACAATGGGAAACAGTTCAGAAACAAGGACAGGTTATTAACTCATCTAGTATTGCACACCAAGCTAAACTAGAAGTACGGCTGTACAAGCAAGTACAAGGTGGCTATAATACCATCTCTTTTAAGGAAACCTGTGTGTCCAAGGCATGAACCAGGCATAGGCACAGATCAAAAGCCAAGCTGGGATGAACAAGGGGTTGCTTTATCCCTGGCTGATATGAGATGGGCACCACCAACCAGATGCCACTTTACCCAGGTCAGGGACAGTCCAAAATGTCTTCAGGGACTGAGAGGTCTCACCCTTGATACAAGGTAGAATGGCTCGCTGCTGGATGGCAGAAGGCTTCTCAAAACCATAGGCGTAGATGCCACGGAGAAGGGACTCCGAGAGATTCATGTCATCAAAGCTGTCAACAATCTCATTCCAGTTACTCTATGGGATGTAAAAAAATTAAAGTTTTAAGTGGTGGAAAAGGTGGGGCTGTGCTATGGTCCCAGAGCAAACAGGATCTAGTGTCTACTAACAAGGCCTCAGAGCTCTCAACTCCTCCTCCCTTTAAGGAAACCAGCTGCTTCTAGATGGTCTGGGTGATCGATCTAAAGGGCCACTCTAAGTCTATACAACTCTTTTAAGACTGAGAACTGTAATGGGGGAGGACAAAACTCCATTTGTCCACTCTCACCTCAATGACGCCTTCGGGCTCCATCCCATCAGGGCCATTGTCTCTGGATCTGTTGGTTTAAAGCACAGGTTTTGTTCCCTGCCCCACCAAAGCACTAACAGCCGGGCTCCTTCTGTCAGCGGTGGCCAGCATGCTGTCAACGTGCTCTCCCAGATCCAACTCCTACCAGTTCCCAAAAGGTACCCAGAGGAGGAGTTCCTACAAAACTTAATGAGGTCTTTGCCCCATGCAGGCAGCAGCTCAGGCTAGGCCACCCCCGACATAATGGGGTAACCCCCTTCTGTAGAGTCAGACTGGCAAGCGTGCCGCCGTGCTCACGGTGCCCAGAGGTGGTGCTTGCCGCCAGGTCCACGTGGGCCCGACCCAGCCGCTTAAAGCCCAAGCGCGTGCACCTCCCACCACAGCACCAGCGCGCCGGAAGTCCCGCCCTTCACCTCCCAGATCGAAGGGTAGGACATCCCCTTCCCCCCACGTCATCCCGCCCGCGCCCTCCCCCACTCCCTCCAGCCGAACCCCCCCCTCACGTTGCCCGGATGTGGGAGGCCGCGGGCGGTGGCGGCCTCGCGCACAATGAGCCCAAGCCGAGCTAGCAAGGGGGGAGATTGCACAACACTTAGAAGCGAAGCCGACTGGGGGAGGGGAACGCCTCAGGCCACCATGTGCTCGCTCCCTCGACCACCCGGCGTTGTCTCCCACCCCTCCATGGTACAATCCACATCCCGCCCGCCCCCGTCGCGAAGTCGCATCGCCCTCCCATACCTCAGGCCGCTCACCCCCGAAGGAAAGTGGACCTGCCCATCCGCAGTTTGCCAATAGCCCGGCTTGTGCGGCAAAATGGACCCGCCCGCCCGGCGCCGGGTGGGCTCCTGGTGCCTCACGCGGCCGCTCCTCGGGGTTAGGCTCAGTCCTGACCGTCAAGAAAACCAGCACACTGAACGGCCGATTTCTTCTCCCCGGCCCTTATTTTAGCCGCGACGAAGCGGCTACATTTGAGGACTCGGGCACCCCCGCCTCCGGCGAGTGGTACCGTCAGAATCCTCCGGAACCCCGAGAGCCGTCCCTCCCCCGGCAAAGGGAGGCAACCGGACCTGCCAGCTCTGGGCCACACACAGTGGGGGCCGCCCCCACCTTCCTTTCCCACGCCAGGTCGCGACCCCGTCTCGCCACTCAACGCCGGGACTTCGCAGACGGCACCGCCTCCATGCGAGACCTCGTAACAAACCTCGCACGCCTGACCCTAGCCGGGCTGTCCCTACCCTCAGCCTCGACTCTAGTGGCAGCGTCGGCCATGGGATCTTCCCCCTCGCTCCCCTAGGACGGATTCCCCCCGGCTCAGTTTCCCCCGCAACCCTGGTGGGCCTCTCAGCTCCCCCCGGCGGACCCGTAGGAAAGAGTAAGGTAAGCAGCCACAATCTCTTGCAAATGCCTTTCTTACCGGGAATCCTGACTCGCAGACATGATCCTTAGAAACTAGGGCGGAGTGCCCGCCTATCGACAACTTATAGAGCGCCCGACCCCGCCCCGGCCATCGCATTGGCTTGACCGCCCTGACTCCGCCTGCCGGAGCTCAGCAACACGGCGTGACGTTAGTTCCTAGGGGCTCCGACACGCAGCCACCATTGGGTAACTCAGACGCCTATCAAGGTGAAGGCCCGCCCCGTAGCCTTATTGGCTGGAGGGCCCGCCTTTCTCGCCGGTACGGAAGTGACATATAGGAGTCAGGCCTCGAGGCTTGGCAGCCATCTTGGGGCCCTGCACTCTCACACGTGCGGAGGCGACAGTGCCTTAGTCATGTGGCTCAGTAGGCCCTATCACGCAAGGGGGGCGAGGTCTCAGCCTCCAGGGGCTTCCGGGCTCCAGGGGTGATCACTTCCCTTTACTTCTGCTCCAGGTCTCCACTGAACTCAAATGTTTGCTTTCCCCTGCAGCAAAGATGGATTCTACACCGCCTGGACGTGTTCTACGTGTACCAGGGATGAGGAATCAAGAGTGATATCCTAGGGATGGGAGGATTCCCCTGACTGGAGGGTGGAGGAGGGATGGAAGAAAACTGTAAAGAGCTTTGGGGTACTGTCATGAATCCCGGCTGGTTCCCCCTCCCCAGTCCCTTGTGTCCAGTTCCCCAGCTTCCCTTTAGGGCACCCTTATTTTTGAGGCTTACCTACTTTACCTTCATCCTGCCGTCTGCTCCCATCTGGGGAATTTGTTTGGGTGATAAAGACATGGTGTTGGCACTGCCCGAGCCAGGGACGCAAAGCTGACCCCTTTAATCTCAAGCGCCAAAATAGGTTATAGCTAACAGCACTGGCTGGAACTAAGCATTTGAGGCCCTTTAAGGAAGACCACCACTTAAGTATCAACAAAGGATCCTTTATTGACCAGAGCAGGACCGTGGCATTTATATATATATATAAAAAAAAGTTCGAAGATCTGGCAGGCAGTGATCCCTTTGCCCGCCCACCACCCCCAGCACTGATTTCCTGCTCCTTGCATGGGGAAGGGGGAGGATGACTGCCCCACCTAGGCCACAAGGCCACACTCCCCTGCAAACAGAGGAAGAAAGGGGCTTTTCTGTAGTTCCCCCTGCTCATCAGAAATCAACAAGTATTCTCTCAAAGAAAAAAAAAATACAGAAATCGAAACATTTAAATATGAAAAACCAAAGGGAACTGAGGGAGAAGAGGCAAGAGAGGAAAGGGACTGGAGTTTCTTGGGAAGGGACTCCCACGTCCCCCTGCCCATTAACGGGCTTGGGGCCTGGGGTACGAGGCTCACACAGTGAGTTTGCAGTGACACAGCTCCTTGTAGATCTGCCGACGAAGTTTGGGCATGTCCTGCTGGGTGAAGCTGAATGGCTGGGACAGGGCCAGGTGCTTGCAGTACTGGGTGTTAACAAAGCAGGCCATGAGAAACCCCCACCCCATGTCAGGACCCGTGCTATACATTTCATATGACATGTGTTTCCCATCTTTCAGAGAACATCCCCATTCACATACAAAGGGAGCCAGGGTCCCATAGCCAATGGTTCAAAAACAGCCTGACCCTAAACGCTAGTGTTCTTACTTGGTATGATAGAATGTTTTAGACAGAGAAAATACACTGAGATGGAGGTTAGCAGGCAACTCTATCAAGGCCAGAGACCCAGGCCCAATGTGGGATGGAGAAGCTCAGAAGAGAACCAGTGAAGCCAGGGTTTTGGTGTTCTAAAACAGATTACTTCCTGCTCCACAACTGGCTGTGAGGCAAATGAGGGAATGCAAAACAGCCTCCCAACTCTTTAACCCAACTTTCACAGCTAGAGAAGGTGGCACCATCTGCTTACCTGCAACACAAAAGCGCCACAGTCACTGTCATTATTCTGCCTGGCCACATTCTAGAGAAGAGAAGGAAAGCGGACACTTCACATGGAGACTCCTGGGGCTGGGACTCAGTATCTACCCTCTACCACTATCCCCTCCAACCATACTCCTCCATCAGGAAACTCACCATTTTGAAGTAACCTTTCCAGCCCTGATGGAAATCAAGTCGGTCTTTCTTTACCGCCTCTGCCTGTAGATACTTGGCAATATGCTATGTGGATGGGAAAAAGAGAAAGTGATGCCTCAAGTTCCGCAATTGAACTCAGTATGGTGGGTACAATGGTACCAGACACCATGCCCAGGTTGCCCCTCGGAGACCCAAAGCCCACCCTTCTTCCTGCAATGCCTTGCCACTGTACCCCGCCACTCCATTTTGTCCATCTCCCTCCTACCCCCTCAAACCTTAGGGCAGCGGCGGTTTAGGGTACGCTGCGAGTCAAAATACGTAATGGTGCGTCGCCTCACATCAACAGAAATGAGGGACCAATGCACCTCCAGGTGGATGGGGATTAGCAGGAGCTCCTTATTGAAGATGTCCACCTAGAGAGAGTGCCACAGGTCAGGTACAACACACACAAGTCCTGCCTTTTGCCATGAAGATTCTAGAGAGGAACAGAGACATAGGCAAGGGAACCCAGTGAAAGAACAGAAGACCCAGGCCCTAGATTGTGGGCAAGCTCAGGATCTGCATATTTCAGCTCTTCAGGGTAAAGGAGGAGGGTCGGACAACTGAGGTGATGTCAGAATGAACACTTGAGAGCCCATGATGAGCCAGGTGCTTTTCACACATTAAAGGGAGAAGCACTTAGTAGCTTAGAACCCAGGCCCAGGACTCTGGAGCCTGCCAGCATTCAAATACAGCTCCTTCATTTACTGGCTTATGACTGTTGGCAACCTACTTAATAACCTTCTATACCTCAGTTTCCTTATCAGAGAGTGAAAGTAATAGTACCTACACCTCATCCATTTGTTATGAGGATTAAACTAGTGAATATCCATAATACACTTAGAACAAGGCACAGCACAAAGTAAATGCTCAGTTAATGGTCAAAACAATCCTACCAGGAAGTTCTCACATTCAACAGATGAGGAATTGCAGCTTGGAAAGTAGTGACTTGCTCAAAGTCATAAGAGAAAGAAATGACAGAAGTGGGACTCAAACTCAGTAGGGAAGGCGGCCAAGATGTTTTTCACTGTATGTCACCCTTCCTTCTTCTGAAAGAAGTGGGCCCACCAGATCCTTGAGGGGGTAAGCTCTTGAATGTGAGGACTGCAATTAAGGAATGCAGGAGCCAATCATCCTACCTAACTAGAAATTTCCTGGCCTTTGAATGGGAGGCCAGGAAAACCTGAGGAGAAAAGAACTCTTGATTTTCCTCACCCAACCGATTGCTCTCCCACTTTTCCCATAACATAAGCCAAAAACCTATACATCATCCTCTACTCCTATCTTCTTCTTTTCCCACATCCAAACTGTGGCAGAAAAAAGCAAATCTTTCCTACTATACTCTCACACCACAAAATACTTCTGTAACTTGTAGTCACCATGAAGTGTGTGAGGCTTTCTCTCCACCAACAACCAAACAAGCAATTCTGCAGTGAACACAGCTGGGTATCCCCCAATTCAATCCCAACACCATCTACTTAGAGATAACATATCACAGGTTTAGGGTTCAGTCTCACAAGGCTGCCCCCCAATTCTGATGCCAGTCCTAAGCCCACGTTGTTTTAGCTGTGCTTCTCACCAACTGGTTATAAATCAGTGTTCCCGGCCAGGTGCCATGGCTCACACTTGTAATCCCACCACTTTTGGAGGCCAAGGTGGGTGGATCACCTGAGGTCAAGAGTTCAAAGACCAGCTTGGCCAACATGGTGAAAACCCATCTCTATTAAAAATATAAAATATTAGCTGGAAATAATGACACGTGCCTGTAATCCCAGCTACTTGGGAGGCTGAGGCAGGAGAGTCACTTGAACCTGGGAGGCGGAGGTTGCAGTGAGCTGAGATCGC